GTCCTGGGATCGAGTCCCACATCGGGCTCCCGGCTCAGCGGGAAGCCTGCTTCTCCCTCTCCCACTCCCCCTGCTTGTGTTCCTGCTCTCGCTGTCTCTGTCTCTGTCAAATAAATAAATAAAATCTTTAAAAAAAAAAGAACTCTAGTGGAAACCCCTAGTAACATTTCACAAAACCTCAGGGTTCCTTAGAACCCCAGGTGTATAGGTACCAAGTCTTCTTTCACATGTGTGTTGTGTATGTGTGTATTTTAATTCTGGCTCTTCTTGTTTCTTGAATATAAGGGAATGATGGCACAGAGGCTTGATAAGTCTGAGGTCTGTTAGATTCACAGCCAACTTCTGGGAAGGCAATCTGTCAAACTTTGCCTTGGATCCTTACAAAATCCTCACAAAGGTACACCCATCACAAGATACAAGGTGTGAAAGACACTGACTTTATTTAGCCCATATTGCAAGGGTCAATGACTATGGGGTTACTGATCATCTGGTCCCTTCTTTGTCTTTGGTAGGGAAACCTGAGACAGCATTCACAAGCACACACTGGGGGCCTGACAAGTGGTCTTTCTCTCTCTCGTTTATTTGTTTCATGGTGCCTTTTTTGTGAAATCCACATCATTTTCTTGAGAGAACTGCTTCTCATAGGAATGTCACTCTCATCTAATCTCTGGCACACACTTTGGTGGAAAGAGCAAAAATGTACACATAGAGGAAGAGTGACCATTATGGGGAATTTCTGACAAATCAGAGTGACTGGTGATCTCTGGGTCCCCATTCTAAATAGGCAGGGGGAAAACACCCTTGGCACATCTTGAATCAGGTATTCAGCCCTGATGCAATGTGCAGTGGCCCCAGGTTGAAGTCACATGGTTCAACACAGCTGCTGAGTCTCCGTCCCTGGGCTTTAGGAGGCTTTTCTATCATTACAATTTGTATCAAGATTTTGTCCAAAAAATGGCACATACCTATGTCAAAGTTTCATATAAGAAATTTCTTATAGAGCTAAACATTGGAAAGACCTCTCTTTTTCCTTTCCCTTGAGGACCTGGTAACTTTTTCTATGATAATAATTAGAACAATGGAACTGACCAAGTTACCTTTTCTCCTTCGGCTGTCACTAATTCGGTGCCAAACTTACAGCCCGCAAAAAGCTTTACTTTTCATGCTCTAGGTTTTCTTTGACCAATGCCTGATTTTGGTTCATACTTCCCCAATTCTATTTTATTCTTATTTTACTCTGCATCTGTTATCGGTAAATAGGTTCAACTTTTTTTTGTTGAGTATGAGGTATGGAAGAAAGGGGAAAAGTGAGGAGAGAGAGAAGAAAGGAAGGGAGAAAGGATGTAAAGAAGGAGGAAATAGCCCAAATTTTGCTCATTAATGGAGCAGAGTACGAAATAGCTGACCCAATGTCTTTTACAGTCTCTTTACCACAAACGACATTTTGACGTTTATCAGTCCATCAGAAAGGCATAAAAGCAGAGACAAGATCATGGAGGTTTATTTTCCCTTAAAAGGAATAAATAATGGGAACACAAAAAAAAAAGCTGCAAGTTGGTCTTATTTAGAGGCTAAAACAAAAAATACACAACACCATAGTATATTTCTTGTTTATGTAACTCTACCCAGGTCGGTATGTGGCTTGAAAAGTAGCACCGATCCTTCCTATAATGGCTTTTCCATGCATTACCTCCTTAGATCCTAACAAACACCCTGTGAAGTAGGTCACACGGGTATTATCTCAACTGAGGAATTAAAGCTCAATTTACCCCAAACCATAAAATGAAGGTTTACTACAGTGTTATAATGGATAAGAGAGAGGGCTGTGGGTATCAGCCTTAGCTTGAATTTCCAGTTTTACTGTTAATTATTTATGAGGTTTTGAGCATGTCATTCAACCCGTTTCCTCATACGTAAAATGAGAATAATGAGTCCTCTTGCACGTCTTCTTTTCCCTCCTCTGAATGTTCTATATATTTTGCGTGAGGTCTCTAGAAGTAGAGCTTGGCCAGACCTAACACAAGCCTTGTCTCAATCTTTCTCCTAGGATTTCGGTCTCCAGCTCCAAGTATCCTCTCCCCCTCCAGGGCAGGGAATACCGCTTGGTCCCTTTGTGACTTGCCAATGTTCCAGCTGACAGCCACCCCAGCAAGTGCCCTCGCAGATGAGTCAGTGCACATCCAAGTGACAGGCCTGTCCCCGATGCAGTTGGTGACCCTAACGGCGTCTCTGAAGGATGAGAAGGGGAATGTGTTCCAGTCCAAAGCCTTCTACAAGGCGAACGAGGTTGGTGAGCTGGACCTAATGCAGGCTCCTGCATGTGGAGGCGACTACGTGGGGGTCCACCCGATGGGCCTCTTCTGGTCTCTGAAGTCCCAGAAGGGTTTCAGGAGGCTGCTTAAGAAGGATGTGATGAACAGCCCCTTTTGGGTCACTCTGAACCTGTATGACTCAGTTTGTTTCCAAGATTCCATCATAGGTGAGCCCATGGCCAGCCAGGTGGTCCAGCGCTGGTTCTCAGCCCCTGGGGTACAGCGTATTCAGATCCGAAATGGTCGGGTGCGAGGAGCCCTTTTCCTGCCTCCAGGTGAGACTAATCGTTGGTGATACAGGAAATGTTGTTGATGAATATGAAAACAAAAACAAATGGCATCACATTATTGGAGAACTAGTATTTCTCACAATAGTTTAAAGCCAACATGCCATTGTGTGTGTGTGTGAAGGTGGAATTCAGTTTGTTCACCTTGTACTTACCCTCTTAGCCACTTGACCCTCTTTCCACTCTTTCTGATCCCATTCTCTTTTCTTTTTGTTGCTTTCAGGGGAAGGTCCTTTCCCAGGAGTCATTGATTTGTTTGGGGGCGGAGGGGGTCTGATTGAGTTTCGGGCCAGTCTTTTGGCTGCACACGGATTTGCGGTGCTGGCCTTGGCCTACTTTGCCTACGAAGATCTGCCCAATTTACTGCAGGAGATCGACCTGGAATATTTTGAGGAAGCTGCTAACTTGCTACTAGCTCATCCCAAGGTAATTTAGAATACTTTTCATTCTACCTTGCAACATTATAGCAAAAAAAAAAAATCAGAAATGGCTGTTTTGCCTATTTTACCAATCTGTTTAGACTTGGGCATAGCACAGTTTACCCTTAAAATGGGGATGATAATGTCGACCTTGTAGGATTGTTGGGTTGCCGATCAGCTTCCTGGCACAAAAGACAATAAATGGTGGATAGATTATGGTTATTTTCAGCGGGGAAAAAAAAAAAAGCCAAGACTCCTTACGTTTGAAGTGCACGTGACTTATTCATCAGTGGCTCTTCTATTTTTATCAGCCACTGATCTCAAATGATGAATTCTCTGGCTTGACGTGGTTTCAAACTTCAGTGATTGTCTCTGCATGGGGTAATGCTCCTGAGACTGAGAACATGCAGAAGTTCAGTTTTAGAGCTGGGCCACAGGATCAGAGCAGAATTATCAGCAGAATGGAGGTGGCTGCACCATCAGATTAGCTGAATTAGCTCTTCAGTTAGTATCAGATCTCGGGGCAGAACTAAGCCCCAAGTAAGTATCCAAGGCCCCAAGCCGGGAAAGGAATCTAGAAAGGAAGGATCATTTTAGTACTCTGTCAAGTATTGTTGTACCATTGAAAATGTGGTCCACTGTCCAGAGGCCTTGGTATGACCAGAGAGCTATTTGAATGCAGACTCTCAGGCTGCAGCCCGGTCAGCATTTTAACAAGATCCCCAGGTGATTTGGATGCACATTCACGTTTGAGAAGGACTGAACTAGTACATCTCTTAATCCAGCTTTTTTTCTAGGAATTAAATATTAGATGAATTATAATCTAGACCTCTTGAAGAGGTCTCGAAGTACTGATGTTTGTGTTAGTGACTAAAAACAGACACATAGGAATAAATATCACATGGTCAGGTGTCTGGGTTGACATTCTGTTAAGTTGAAACATAATAATTCTGGTTTTCCAGTTTGACAACGTTCAAATATCAGCTATGTTTTATGGCTCAACCTGTCATGGCAAAACAATCGTACCAGCCAACATTTATTAAACGACTCTGTTTGACTCTCTGCTAAATACTCTAAAAGCACTCGTATTTAACACTCACAGTTACTTTGTGATGTGAGTACTGTGGACATCCTCATTTTTCAGATGAGAAGGCACACTCAGATTAAGTCATATGTCAGAACTAGACAGCCCTTGTGGCAATGTCTTTGCTACAGACCATTAGGTTTCCAGATCGTTCTCTCTCTGGAGAGCCTTGACTCTTCTCTAGGAGGCATGAGGCCCTGTCTCCTATCAGAGTATTATTAGTATCTTCATCTTCAGTGTTACTGCTATCATCGGCATCAAATATATGTGTGAATTTTCTAAGCATATTTGGCTCTCTTTTAAAGGATTGTTTGGAAGGAATTAAATCCCAGATAAAATTTTCAAGTTAAAAAAAAAATTTTTTTTTTTTTCATTTCAAATGCCCCTATTTGTGACATTATCTGAGGAGGAAGTGCAATTGGCAAAATTCAATTTAGATTTGGTATCATCAGAAGAGAGTCAATTCCCACCTTGGCCCCTTGATACTGTTGTAACCTTAATTTAAGCAAGACTCGTAGACTTCCTGAATCTCTGGGTTCTTATTGGAAGGACAAGCTGAGACAATTTATGTGTAAAGCACTTAGCTGAGGACCCAGCATACAGTAAACTCTCGATAAATCCACCTTGTCATCCTTGCCCATCTGTTTTTCCCCTCTCTCCCTTCCCTGCATCCTCAACCAGTCCCAAAGTGCTTTAGGGTCTGTTCCCCAATCTTTCTCAATACGTCACACCCTCTTCACGCTCCCTGCCACTGTTTTAGTTTGCTCCCTCATCACTGCCCCTTTGTGGTATAGCCATTGTGTAGTTTCCCCTCTCCAGTGATGATAGTCTCCTCCCTCGCTCCCAAGTCCGTTCTTCTTCTTTTTTTTTTAAAGATTTCATTTATTTATCTGACAGAGAGACAGCGAGAGAGGGAACACAAGCAGGGGGAGCGGGAGAGGGAGAAGCAGGCTTCCCGCCGAGCAGGGAGCCCGATGCGGGGCTCGATCCCATGACCCTGGGATCATGACCTGAGCCGAAGGCAGACGCCTAACGACTGAGCCACCCAGGCGCCCCCCAAGTCCGTTCTTCTTATGGATGGTTCCCAAACGTAGAAGCACACGGGATTTCCTGGGGGATATGTGCTAGTATGAGTTTCTTGGGCCCACTCAGACCTATTGAAGTAGAAACTTGAAAACTGGATCTCAGAAAGCTCTAATTAAAAAAAAAACAACTTTTTTTTTAGGTGATCTGATGACAGGTGCTGGGCATACAACTGTAAGCAAAGTAAACATATCAGGCTGCTATGTATTTGCTTCTCTCTGTCCAAAATGCCCTTCCTTTCCCTACTCATCTTCCAAACTTCTTCCTTCCCTCTGCTCCCTCAGCCTTCCACAGAATTAAGGACCCCTTCCTAGGACCTACTACTTTTCCTATTAGACGGGGCGCTGGAATTCAATCGTTTCTAAAATCCGAGTCTTTTATCTTTACCCTCCCAATGCTTCCGTGATTAGCTCTTGGATTAACGGATGTGCAAAACCTGTGCAGCCATAAACTGCTGTTTAAACATGAATAACACCTACATAGTATTCAAAAGAACCCGGGAAACCTCTTTTCCTAGCTGGAAAGAAGAATTTGATTCCTAAGTTTACTTGCTTCTACAGGTGATGTTGAATGTTGCTGGTGCATTTAAACTCTTTTTGCTTTTATGGAACTCTGCCTTTGATGAAGAGTTTTTTTTTTTTTTTTTAAAGATTTTATTTATTTATTTGAGAGAGAGAATGAGAGACAGAGAGCACAAGAGGGAAGAGGGTCAGAGGGAGAAGCAGACCCCCCGCCGAGCAGGGAGCCCAATGTGGGACTCGATCCTGGGACTCCAGGATCATGACCTGAGCCGAAGGCAGTCGCTTAACCAACTGAGCCACCCAGGCACCCCTTGATGAAGAGTTTTTATTTCTATTGTTTCACTAAATCCTTCTAACGATCCTGCAGGGTAGGGAGTATTATCACTCCCATAAGACAATAAGGCTTCCAGAAGGCAAGGAGGCAATGCTTTCAGTCACAGAAGCTGGTAAACCCCAGCGCTAGGACTCCCATCCCATATTGTCTGACCGTTTCCATGACACTAGCTTGCTGGCCTGCAGGGCAGCTCCTTCGAGTGTGGCATCTGATGGGTTCCCTTTATTTTGTGCTGCAGGTCCAAATGCCAGGAATCGGAGTGATCTCTGTGAGCAAAGGTGCAGAGATCGGACTGGCCATGGCCTGCTTCCTGAAGCAGGTGGTAGCCACCATCTGCATCAATGGGCCCAATGCCATCTATGAATTTCCGCTCAGGTACAAAGATCTGGTTATAACACCCATCCCCTCGTTTATGGAGCGCATGCAGTATGACATCTCAGGGTCTATGCGACTCCGTCACTACAGGGGGGACCCCCGGGATGAACTGAATCAGCAGAGCGTGCTTCCTATTGAGAAGGCCCAGGGTCCGATCCTCTTCGTGGTGGGAGAGAATGATGAATGCTTGAATAGCAAGGAGCATGCCGAGCAGGCCCTGCACCAGCTCTGGAGCCACGGGAGAAACAATGGAAGGATGCTGGCGTACCCTGGGGCGGGCCATCTCATAGAGCCGCCCTATACACCCCTGTGTTATGCCTCCCCAAACAAGAACTCTTTCTGTTTCCTGCTCTGGGGAGGGGACCGCATTGCCCACGCTGCAGCCCAGGAGCACTCCTGGGGAGAGATGCTGAAATTCTTCAGGCAACACCTTACTCAAACCAGTAGGAAACTCTGAGCCAGGGCTCAGTGTGATGATGAAGTGGGGAGACATAAAAAATGAGAATAAGGCAAGGAGATGATGGGAAGAGGGGGTTCTTCTGACTTCTCTAGATTCACAGTTATCTTGAATCAGTTGGAAGGAGATAGGGCAAAAATCAAGGGCCAAGGGCACAGGTTCAATATCTGACAAATTTGTATGTGATTTGAATTTTTTGTAAACTGAGTCTTAGTTTATATGCACCAGGGTACATTGCTATCTCAAAATTGTGATACCCTTGCAAATTGAATAATCTTTTGTTTCCCAGGTAGGGATCCCTTGGACCCAGGTATTTCCAATCTAGATGAATTCTCTGGAACTTCCAAGTTACTTGTGGAAAAGCAAGTAACTTCTGTTTAAAATTGAGTTTCTGACATTTGATATGAAAAGTTCTAAGGCCACCAACAAATGCAACGCTCATTATAGATTTCCGATAGATGCTTTATTTTTTTCTCAGAATAGTGATGTTTCTTTTTATCCCTAAAATATATTTCTTTTTATAATTTAATCAGGAATGGGATTGAATGTAATCACATGCCTTTATAGCATTTATTGAAATTAGTTATTGAAGTTAGTTAATATGGTTAAAGCAATTACAACAGTCCAGGTATGCAGTGATCAGTGTATCAGAATTGGCTATAATTATTTTCATAATGCTGTTTTTGTTTTTTGGGAGTTTTTTTGTTCTTTTTTGTGTGTTTTTTTTGTTGTTGTTCATAATGCTTTCTTCCTTCAATCTGTTAATGTGGTGAATTACATTCATTAATGGACTCATGTTGCTTTTGCATCTAATTTTACTAGATGATTTATTCATATTGACTAATATGGGTTTTAAAATTTCTTTTGGAGCCAACCTGGTCATTCCTATTTTCTCAGAATTTCACCCATATTTTCTAGAACAATTTTTTCACTTATAATTTTGCACATATCCCCTATTATTTATTTGCATGCTTCCTCTTTTTTCCTCTCAGTCTGACTTACCAAATATTTTTCTATTTTTATTGATCTTTTCCAAGAACAGTTTTTGGTTTGTTTTTTTGGTCAAGTCTTTTCCTCCTGATTCCTTGATTTCTGTTGTTTTAAAATAAATTCATTCCTTCTTCCATTTTTGTGTTTATTTTTCTGGCAGTGTTCTCATTTTGTTAATTTCTAGATAGTTTCTGATTTACTCCCCCACCCTTTAAATCCAAGAGTAACTTTACCAAAGCACAAGGTATCAGACTATAGATACTTACTGATCATAAGGGGAAGGCGTGAGGAATTTTGCAGTGGAGGATGAGATTGTTACCACCTGAACCCACTGATCAAACTTAGCATCTCTTAAAATAGTCATTTTTACATAATGTGCTTCTTGATGAGATGTAATGTGGAGTGCCTAGCACTACTTAGATTACTTCTAACAACGCGATTAAACTTGCACCTCGTCAAACTTTTAGATCAAACTTCTTATTGATACAGTGGCTAGAAACCAGTTAAACAATCCTATAAAGAGACAGACAAATCCAGGTTGTGGGTCATTGTATAACTTGGTCTCACCATAAGTTAATTAGCAACTGACCTGGTTTTTTCAGAAGCTGGTTGCATGAAAAAATTTGGGATTTTTTTTCTTTGTGGGATTCCGCTCCCCCCCCCCCGCTTTTTTTGAGTTGGAGTGAGCTGTGGGACTATCAAACATTAAGAGACTTAAGAGACATATCAACCAAATGCTATTTGTGGGCTTCGTTTGAACAAAATAACTGTAAAAAGGTATTTTGGGGACAATTAGAAAAATCTGAATATGGAATGGATACTAAATGATACTGTGAAATTGTTATTATCTTGTTAGGTGTTATAATGGTATTGTGGTTATGTAAAAAGTCACTTTTAGATAAAGATGCATACTGATATATTTAAAGGTGGAGGGTTGAGATATCTGGGAATTGTTTTAAAATACTGCAGGAATATGGCAAAATGTGAATAATTATTACTTCTAGATTATGGCTATAGTGAAGTTTGTTATAATATTTTTTTATGTGTGGCTGTAATTTTTCATATAAAAAGCTAAAAAAATAAAAGATACAATCAATATATTTACCTTTCTTCCCCCAAAGGCAAGAACTTTAGTATATACTAAATCTTTTTCTCCATGGCAGCCCCATTAATTTCAGATTACTGATTGGTTTCACAATAAATACATATTTAACATAACTATGCTTCAATGTGTCTTTCCTGCTTTTACAGCCTGTCTTTTAAATTCTTGGCTTTATCTTCCACTTGGCCATTTCCTAAAGGATAAACTCAAGTAATTATCTTAAAAGATTACTATTCACCTGAATCTTAGCAAATTTAAAAATGTCTCTATTTTGCTCACTTTGCAATAATGAATTTTATACTTGTAGAATTTGATGTTAACAGACTTTGATCTTTTTATTTTGGCATCCATTGTTGTCAGTGAGAAGTCTGAGTCTTCTTTGTGGGATTTTTTTTCTCCTTTAGTTCAGATTTTCCCAATTCTATTTTATTTTTCTTTTACTCTGTATCTGCAAGCTTTTTACAATTTTCTCTTTGTTCTTAGTGTTCTGAAAATTCTTCAAGAAATGAGTAGGGGTGGGTTTATCATTACTATGTTAATTAATTTTGCTTTGTCCTGTATGGGCCATTCCAAACTCAAGACGGCTGTTTTCAGCTTTATTTATTTATTTTTTTAAAGATTTCATTTATTTATTTGACAGAGAAAGATCACGAGCAGGGAGGATCATGACCTGAGCTGAAGGCAGAAGCTTAACCAACTGAGCCACCCAGGTGCCCTGTTTTAGATATTTGCTTCTATTAATTTTATGATCACTTTAACCTTTACATTTTTTCTACTCTCACCTTCTGGAACTCCACTCCAGAGAATTTTGGAGTTTCTGAATGTACCCTCCATGAATATTAAATTTCTTTCATACTTTTTTTGTACCTCTCCTGCCATCCCCAGCTCCCTGTATTCTTGGAGAACTTCACAGTTGAATTTTCACCTCACTAATTTGTGTTTCAGCTGTGTCCAATTTGCTGTTTAGCTCATCTCTTGGGTATTATTTTGTTGATCATTATTTTTAATTTTCCCTTAAAGCCTGTTCTCATTTTTCCTCTCAGCTTTATTGAGATATGATTGACAAATAACACTGTATAAATTTTAAGGTGTACAACTTGATGATTTGATATACATATATATTATGAAATTATTACACGATTAGGTTAGTTAACACATCCATCACCTCGCATAGTTATCAATCTGTGTGTGTGTGTGTCTGTGTGGTGAGAGCATCTATTCTCTTAGCAAATTTCAGGTATATAGTACAATGTTAGTAACTATAGTCACCATGTTGTACATATCCTGTTCTCATTTTACAGATAGATCATTAGATCATCCTTTCTTATTCCTGCTTTCACCTGTGGCCTTCATGAACACACCCACATTCTGTGCAGGTTACTGTCATTGTATTTAAAAAGCAGTATAAGCCATTGGGATTAAGAAAACCCACTTATCCCAGCACCACATGGATATTACTTTTTAGGGATCTGATTTCAGCAAAATGAAACCTATCTTCTTTATGGTCTTCTATCAAGGCTTTCTAGGATCTCAGCTTCCATCTCCATTATTTAGTTTCCCCCTGTTATTTGGTTAGAAAAATCTGACTAAAAGTGGTTTACACAATGGGCTAATTATTGTCTCTTATATAAAGAAATCCAAAGGAAGGATGGCTTTGGTTTACTCACCAGTTCAGCAATGTCATGATGAACTGAATTCCTTCTATCTTTCTGCTCTGCCATCCTTAACAGGTTAACATATTCTCTTAGGCTAGCCCCCCTGTTCTAAGATGTTGTTCTAAGATGTTGACCACCAGCCCTGGTATCTCATGAAGAAGATCTCTTAGATTTCCCCATGTCTCAGTGGCCAAAACTGGGTCACATGTGTATGCCTAAAGCAATCAATCGCAAGCAAGGGAAGGGAGATCACCACGACAGCTTAGACAATCGAGACTTAATGTTATGGGCCCAGCATCGCTGAAGAACATGTCCACTTGGCAGATGGTGAACAAAAATGAAATTCATTATTGGCAAGGGCTACTGAGTTGCCAATCACCACAGTTTGCCCCACGTGTGTTTCCTATTCCCTCTACTGTTTTCATAACAAATGAAAATTGTGAGTGGGGGGAGGGGCGTTTCTGGTTCCCCATGCATTCCAAATGTTTTCTTGAACGTGTGGACCAAGATTACTCTTGAATTGACCTGCCCAGGCATTTTGATTCTCTGAGCTATGCTCTCCTTCCTTGTGTCCTTTGGCACACTGCAGCTGTCCCTCTGGTTTAAATAAATACGTAGGATACAACGTATCTTCCTATTTATGTGTAATTAGGAGTCCCAATACTTTCACTCTATAGTATTCCCTTTCTAGGGTGGTTAGACAGTCTACCTCAAAGCAAAGATTTATGTGCCTTTGAATATGTATAATTTGCAATACGGGATCTGGCATGCCTCAATCTCTGGATTTCTTTATTCCTAAGGCTTGCCACTCTTTATTACACCATGACTGAACATTCTTGTCTCATCCTTTTTATGTGCTCTTCACAGATTACTGTTGCTTCTGGTAGAAAGTTATATTGGTTTCAAAACTCTGTGGCATGTACTCTTGGTAGCCTAAAATTCCTCCCTTCTAATAGTACCCAAATGTGTCCTTGTGCTTCAGTGATTCTAGACTTACTCCAGCCCCCATAGGTGAGTGCTAAGTGGTGTAGACCAATCATGGTGGTTTTTTTCCTTCATCTAGTAAGTAGTGTAGACACCAACATGAGACATAATTCTTGTCAATAGGATGTCAGAGACATCTGAAGAAAATGAAGATTGTCTGAAAGAGACATTCTGGGAATTTGTGGGAAGTCTTTCTCATCTTAAAAAAGCAAAGAAATGCGGGGCGCCTGGGTGGCTCAGTCGTTAAGCGCCTGCCTTCGGCTCAGGTCATAATCCCTGGGTGCTGGGATCGAGCTCCACATCAGGCTCCCTGCTCGGCGGGAAGCCTGCTTCTCCCTCTCCCACTCCCCCTGCTTGTGTTCCCTCTCTCACTGTGTCTCTCTCTGTCAAATAAATAAAATCTTAAAAAAAAAAAAAAGCAAAGAAAGGCGACTCTCCCTTTGGATGTTGTTTTATCTTAATGCTGACGATACACTGAGGCCAGTCTGAGGACAAAACCAACACACAAGGTCTGAGCCAAATGAGTTGCAGAGAAATGGAACGGAGGCTCTAATTATGTTGTTTTCATGGATGCTCAACCTTTGGATTTCTTTTTATTGGATTAAATAAATTTCCTTATTTGTTGAAGCCATTTACATTGGGAATTTCTGTTCTTTGCTACTGAACACTATCATGATCACAGGCACTTCCCTCATCACAGCAGCCCACCCTCTTTTGGATTTGGCCTGAGGCAGTATAGAAGGACAAATTGCACAACCTAATTTTTTAAAAGAAAGGTGGGCAAGATGAATGGATAAAGAAGATGTGGTATATAGGGGCGCCTGGGTGGCTCAGTTGTTAAGCGTCTGCCTTCAGCTCAGGTCACGATCCCAGGGTCCTGGGATTGAGCCCCGCATCGGGCTCCCTGCTCTGTGGGAAGCCTGCTTCTCCCTCTCCCACTCACCCTGCTTGTGTG